AAGCAATGTTTGAGTAGGATTTAAAAAATGGTAAAGATGATAATTTGAAACAGGCGATAAGTAGAAGTGTAGGACTTACCGAATATAAGCTAAACCCCAACAAGGCTGTTAATGAAGTAGTTTTGATAAATAGTATGGTAGTGATGAAGAAGTGCGTTAAACATCCCATGTGGTTGCCCAAATTAGGCTAAAGTATAAATGGTATTAGATTGATCACTACAAGCATTAGAAATAAATAGTTGAAAAATCATAAAGAAATCAAAAGTCAAGCTGCGATTCAAGAGCAGATGGTGCTGAATGATATTGGATTCTACAAATGACTCTATTTGAACTGTAAAATTGGATTTGATAGATTGAAGAAAATAGTCTGTGACAATCAGCTTAATTCGAAGAAACCGGATCATAGTGAGGTGATAGAATATTGAATATTAAAGTTAAAATGCTAGTAAAAAAAAAAAACTTTTAGTGTTTGTGTGTATATTAATATTTATATATTTGTATATATGGGTTGATAATTAGTGGTAAAAAGTCTTGCATTAAAGTTGGAAAATATGTTGTAAGTAATATGCGAATATTATATTTGTTGGATTTTGCAAGAATAAACTTCGGGACGAAGTTCAGTGGGGGTCTAGCTCCTGTCATGGTGATGACCAACACCCTTGTATTGGTATTGCTAGGGTTGGGTAAAGTCACAGGTTACCTGATCGTAACTGGGTAACATTAATAGCATGATTCGGATTTGTATGAATTGCATGATCGTTGAATTAGTAGATGCATAAAATTAATTTATAGTCTAATTGTATGTATTGCATAATGTGTATGACCTAAGCAATAATATATCTGGCAATAATTTTGTATTTAAAAATTGTGATCTTTAATAGTAATAAAATAATTAAGTTTCGCTTTGAAAATATATTTTAAGTAATATACACTGTGTGGTTGCCCTTATAGTTGTTAAGATATTGGGTCAATTGTGTGAAAAGGAAGAACTTCAAAGTGCCACTGTCAAAGCTAGATTTTCAAGTGGAATGATCTCATTTGTTAACTTACATAACAATATGTGTCAAACAAATTGGTTTAATATGTATCTTACACTTTTAGTAGTTATTGACAATAATACCAGAACTCGGTTAGTTGCTTAGGTATTATTAAATGATGAAACAACTACTAGTAGTTTTATTCTCTGATGCCAACCTTGCATTGGGTAGTGCTGTTTCTTTAAAATTATCTACCATATACTATTTTCTCTGCATTTTTCATATACAGAAGAACATTTGTAAAAATTTGCAGAGTAAACTTGGAAAGCAATACAAAGAGTTTTATAAAGAGTTTTTATATGCACAAAATAGCATATTTGAAGAAGATTTTCATAGGTGATGGTCACGTTTGTTAGAAAAATATCTTTAAACAAATAATTATTTTAATAGAACATTACAAAGGTGTATTAAATCATGGGCTCAGTATTTTTAACTAAAGTTCTTTATAGCTGGAATTCAAAGTACCCAGTGTGTCAAAGTAATAAATAAACTATTTAAAGAAGGTGTAAAAATACTTTCTCATTACGTAATCTTCATGACTACATTTAAAATCTCTTGGATAATAAAGCTAAGTGGGCAAGACATAATAGTTACCTGAATTCAATTCCTACTAATCAAGTATTGTCAATTGTTTAATCTATATTTTTACAAGTATTTGAGATATTAAGATTATATTTAACACTTCATATTTTAGCTGTGCAACAACAACAAGTTATAGGATCTTTTTTATATAGAGCATAGCTACAACAAAAGGATAATATTCAGTATTACAGATGGCTTTTTTTATTAGAGTTTGGCCAGGAATTTGTGTAAATAATAACTTAATATAACATTTATTTTACATATAGCATATGTTTTAATATTAGTTGGTCTATATTTTAGTATCACACCTCTATGCCTCTAGCTCTATTAACTGAAATTCTGAAAGAATATAATATTGACTAAATTGGCTAGCATTATAACTAATGCTGGCTAACTTTGTCAGTATTATATCTTTTTCAGGAATCTTTCTTTTGGGATTTTAGGGTAGAACCCTATTAATCAAATTAAAATACTAAACTTTAAATTTTTTTTTTATCAGAAAAACATACAATTGGATTATGATAATAGTTTTTTAGAAGATAAACTTGATCATCCACAAATTTCAATTATAGCTTTAATAAGAGATATTAAACTAAGTAAAGTTGTTAAAATATGGAAGGCTATAGATTTAATGGCAGTTTACAAACATTATGTAGTATTATTGAGTAATGGTAGATATCTATATATCTGCATAGCTATTGTCAACTGTGGTATTATATATTCTTATTTTTTTTAGATAATGATGAGTACCAAAATGGCAATATTTCATATAGGCTAGTAGCGAGATGTTGGTATTGTGATGATTAGCAGAATAAAGGTTTGGAGGTTTTACAACAAAAAAATATTAATATTTCAATAATGTTTCAACAAAGCAACACAAATGTAGTTTATCCAGATTTTCACATTATTGAACAAATTCAAGGTACTATATATAACAAAAAAAATTAGCAATTAGCTAGCAAAAAATCAGATATGCTAATAAATTTGGTAAAATAAAAAAGCACTTAATATTGCTTTAGACCTTGGGTGTGAAGAAGAACTAATTAGCATGGTTACTCAGTTTGTTAACCAAAAAAAGTCTATACTTAAAGGTACTAATAATGAAAGTACTCAACTTAATTAACTTGAGCATATAATTGTGAATAACTCTTTAGTTACAAAACATCATGGGCGACCACCAACAAAAAAACTAAAAAGTTCTTCTGAAGCTTAAGGTTATAAAGGACAAGCATATAATAATCACTAGTCGAAAACTAGAAATTCGACTTGGTCGAATTACAATAAAATTTGGCAACAAATTGGCTGCTTTTTTTAAAATTTGGTTGCTTCAATATTAATTTGACCTAATTTAATCAAAAATTCGATAACTAAATTTTAATAAAATTCGACTATGCCGATTTCTTCAATAATTCGATCTAATTTAGTCAAAAATTCAACAACTGAATTTTAATAAAATTTGACTATGCTGATTTCTTCAATAATTTGACCTAATTTAGTCAAAAATTTGACAACTGAATTTTAATAAAATTTGACTATGCCGATTTCTTCAATAATTCGATCTAATTTAGTTAAAAAATTCAGCAACCGAATTTTAATCAAATTTGACTATGCTGATTTCTTCAATAATTCGATCTAAATTAGTCAAAAATTTTAATAGCCAAATTTTAATCAAATTCGACTATGCCGATTTCTTCAATAATTCAACCTAAATTAGTCAAAAATTTAACAGCCGAATTTTAATCAAATTCAACTATACCGATCTCTTCAATAAATCAATCTAAATTTAGTTCAAAATTCCTATTTCTAGAATAAATCAAGACAGATAAATTTTATAAAATTCGACCTAGCTGATTTCTAAAATAATTTGACCTAAATTTAGTCAAAAATTCAGAATTAAATTTAGAATTGAATTTTTGTCATATCATTTTTTACATAAAAAATTGAACCATATGGACTACGTAACCAGCTTTATTATAAAATTCATGCTTATTCTACTTTATAATAGTATTAATTAAAGCATGTTATAATTATAAAAAATCAAACTATATTTGACTACATAATCAGCTTCATTATAAAATTCATGCTGTATTCAATTAAAGCATGTCATAATCATCTTTATATAAAAAATCGAACCATATTCGACTATGTAATTAGCTTTATTATAAAATTCATGCTGTATTCAATTAAAGCGTGTCATAATCATCTTTATATAAAAAATTGAACCACATTCGACTATGTAATCATCTCATTATAAAATTCATGCCATATTCTACTTTATAATAGTATTAATTAAAACATATCATAATCAGCTTTACTAGAAAAAATCGAACCATATTCGACTACATAATCAGCTTCTTAATAAAATTTATGCCAAATTAAAGCACATCATAATCAGAAAAAATCGAACCATATTCAACTACGTAGAATAAAAAATGAACTACATTCGACCTATTAAATTAAAGTGCATCATAATCAACTTTACAATAAAAAAATCGAACTACATTTGACTTATCAAATTAAAGCGTATCATAATCAGCTTTACAATAAAAATTGAACCACATTCGACTTTAAATCAAGTAGCAAATTAAAGCGAGTCATAATCAGCTTTACAATAAAAAATCAAACCACATTCGACTTTGTAATCAAAGCATCAAACTAAAGCATATTATAATTAGCTTTATAATAAAAAATCGAATCACATTCGACTTTATAATCAAGTATCAAATTAAAATATATCATAGTAGAATATAATATAAAAATAAATTTCTTATAAATATGCGCTACGTTTATAAAGAAATAGCTTGTTGCTTATTATAGTAACTTATTCATTTACAAACTACTACTTAATTTCTCTCACAATCTCTTTAATCTTTCAACCTTTCAATCTCTTTTTCTTTGTCTCTTAATCTCTCTCATTCTCCCTCTCTCTGTCTCTCAATCTCTCTCTCTATATTTCTTAACCTCTCTCTTTGTCTCTCAATCTCTCTCTCTCTCTCTCTCTCTCTAACTCTCAATCTCTCTCTTAATCTCTCTCTCTCTCTGTCTCTCAATCTCTTTCTCTCTCTCTCTCACTTTCTTACTCACTCATTCACTCTCTCTGTCTTTCTGTCTCTCAATCTCTCTCTCTGTCTATCAATCTTTTTTTCTCTCTCTCTCTCTCTCTCTGTCTCTCAATCTCTCTCTTTGTTTCTCAATCTTTGTCTCTCAATCTCT